GAACCACAGCAGCAAAAGGAGCAAACCGTGGGGCTGCCACTCCCAGGAACCAGCGCCCCATGCCGGCAGCTCCTCCCATGTGGCTGTACCGCCCCCAGCCCTGTCCTCTGGCGTGACTGTACAGACTGCAGCCAGGAGAAGCAGTCACACAGACAGCTACACGGAAGGAACAGGGGTGGTACAGTTGCATGGGATGAGCTGCCGGCATGGGGCGCTGGTTCCTGGGAGTGGCAGCCCCACGGTTTGCTCCTTTTGCTGCTGTGGTTCCCGGGAGAGCCCTGCGGTTCGGCGAATACCGATTTTTCTATCCGTGGATATCCATATCCACGGATATACATTTGCATCCACGCAGGCCTCCAAGTATTAAATCCTGCTGCAGATAAAAACCAAACAACAAAACTGGTCTCTGGCTGTGCTCAGGTCTATGCTTAAGATTTAGATCAACCTAGCTGTATCGCTCCAGGCCATGGGGAAACTCACACCCCACGCACTATAGTTAAGCCAACCTAACCCCAGGCTGGCCGCAGCTAGGTTGACAGAAGAATTCTTCCGTCAACCAAGCTACTGCTGCTCGGGGAAGTGGATTGCCTGGAAAACCCTTTTGGTGGATGTAAGAAGCGTCTACGCTACAGCACTTTACTAGGGGTGCTGCAGGGGCACGGTGTAGACACGTTCTTTATCTCACTGCCTGCGTCCATCTGATCACCTCTCCGGCTCAGCATTGGACTGCATCCCAGCTGACCTGGGTTTTATCCTGGCATATCACGCAGTCACTTAAGCTGTGCTGCCAAATGAGACTGAAGGTGTTTCGCATACTCCAATGGGGTAAATGCCTGTGCACGTGGCGAATGGGCCCTCCTGAGGCTATGTCTACACAGCTGCAGTGCTATAGTGTAGATGCTTCCTACGTGGATGGAAGGGGGTTTTCTTAATGTAGGAAACTCACCTCCCTGTGCAGCGGTAGCGATGTCAACAAAAGCATTCCTCTGCCCACCTACCCCTGTCTACAGCAGGTTTAGGTCAACTTAACTACAATGTTTCGATCTAACGTCTAAGTGTAGACCAGGCCTGAGGACCAGTTGATGCAGGATTTGTTTAAGGTTCCAGACACTGTTGTTGTGCTGCTGATACTAATAATAAAGATTTTTGTGACGGCTGGGCTCTTCTCTGAGCGGCCGAGTAACCTGGCTTCTCCTGTGAAACATGGCCAGCTAGCCACAGCGGGCTTGGCCAGAGGGGAGAAACCTAGACTGGGAGACAAGTCTCGAGGGCTATGATGTCAGGCTTGCTTCTGAGCTCAGCTCCCGCTGGTGTAAATTGGGAGTGATTCTGGTGTCAAACCAGAGCTCCAAGCCAGGTGTGAACAGGCCCCTGTCCTTTTACTGGGCTGCTAACACTGATGAACAATTGTGCCAGTTTCACCCTCAACAGTTGCTCTTTCCCTGCTAATTTATTTTAGCAGGTACATCTGGTTATTCTGGGAGTTGGGGTGGTGCCAGCCCTTCCGCCCAGCTGCAGAAGCAAGGGCCAGGCTTTCTTGCTGCCTGTAGTGCACTGGGATTAAAAATGTAGTGCTGACTAATGGAACATGATGGACGAGGGCTGCTTGCAGGAGCCCAGTAACCACGGAGGGGAGATGGTGGGGGAGGAGAAGAGAGATGGTCGTGTGGCTGCGACACTGCCTGCAACAGAGGCGATCTGGCTTCAATTCCCAGTTCTTCCTTGTGTGACTTTGTGCAAATTGCTGGATGTCTCAGCTTCCCTATCTATAAACTAGAGAGGATAATACTTCCTGTTCCTTTCCGGGTTGCCCTTGTTTATTTAGATTGGAAGCCTTTTGAGGCAGGGACTGTGTGTCAGCTCCCGTGGACCTTCTCTCTTATTCTGAAGTGGTGTCAAGCAGGGGGAAGTTATATCAGCATGATTATTATTCTGCTATAGCTACGCTGGTCAATTGCCCCATAGTGTCAAGCCCCCGTGTCTGGGCAGTACTTAGCGATGGGGCTCTGATTGTTGCTGCAGCTTAGGAGTTAACACAATACAAAACAACGAACAGCTTGGGAGACAGCCCAAGGCCGGGCCTGTAAAAACTAGAGAGAGCTGTAATGGTGGGGGAGTTGGATGCTTTGTATAAATCCAGCTGCCCTGGGAAACCGTGATGGACCCACAGTAGGGAATGGGTGAGTTGATATGTTAAAGAGGAACTCCCTTGTCCCTTTGGCCTGAGCAGTTAGCTACTAGTTGGGGGCCTTGCTGGGTTCTTTCTATTTGGAGGCCAAATGGTCCGAGTCAGATCCGTTCTTTAATGCAATCCTGCTTGTTTACAAAGAATGCACACAGAGTTCTCTTTCCCTGGACGCCATAGAAACCAACAGCAGCAGGCAGTTTCCTTGCTCACAGTTCCTTCCAAGCCTGTTGCTCCAGCTGGGCCTGTGCCCCAAGGAGCTCTGGATTTAGGAATTGCTTTGCTCAGTGTTCCAAGACCTAAGTGGCATGGGCGGCTAAATCCCATTTTTCAGAGTGACATAGGAACTTTGGCCCAGATTCTTAAAGGTGTTAAGGCAGGGGAATTAGGTACCTAAATACTTCATCTTTCAGTGAGATTTAGTCTTCTCAGACACTTCTGAAAATGGGACTTGGCCATCTAAGTCACGTAAGGCCAGATCTTTAAAGTTATTCAGATGCGTACTGGGATTTTCAAAAGCACCTAGGCCCCCAACACCCTATGGGTGCCTTTGAAAATCCCACTAGGTGCCTAAATAGCTTAAAAAATATGTCCCTCAGGCTTTGCAATTCTGAGTGGCACA